GGAAGTCGTAAAATGGATGCCAAATATGACATTATTGGCATTATCCGAAAATACGCGATACCACAATCGTATACTCGAGATTATTATAACCTAGATTCGGAATTTTATGAACAATGCGGCTATTTTATGACATCTAATAATCAGCTTCAGACCACATCAGATTACCTACAGACCACTCCCGCATTAGAAATGTATCCTGTGTCGCGGGGGACTTTACAAACATACATGAAACGGACACAAAGAACACCCAGACTCAGAACAACAATTTGTGGATCACAAAAAGTGTCGTCCCATGTGGGGATCGAACCAACAAGACTCAACCAACGTAGTAGTAAGCGGCGTGGCGACGTAGCTTGTAGTCAAACTTGCTACACAAATAATCTCATCCGTATCTAATTTAAGTGGAGATTCTGATGCTTCCATGTGTAGAATATAATAGAATATTATTTATTTCATAAGCACAGCATACAAAAAAAAACAAAAGTTAAAAAACTACATACACAAAAGAAACTAAAAATCAAGTAAGGTTTGATAAAGGTAAACATTTTTCAATGTGTCAATCTTTCATATCTGACAGAATTGACATGACACGTATGCAACCACGCGTGTTGTGATCTTTTTACTGACGATATTTCTACATAATAATCTTTAATTGTTATTTTCCCAAAAATACGGAGAAATATTTAAAAAGCTGACCCACACCCAAGAAGACCCAATTTGTACTAATAAATATTGATTACACAGATTCTTCTTAAAAAAATATTAATTTTTTTTACTAAAAGATTTCATAAAAAAAAGATAATAACTGTAGTAATAAATAATATCCCAAATATAAAATATAAGTTGCTTACTTTACTTACCTCAATGTTACCAGTCTTTCTTCAGCTGGTATACTATGTTTGAAAACAGTTTCTTGCCGCTGAATTTTACTTTTAACTAATTCAAGTAATTCATAGAAACATTCTTAGATAATAACAAAAATTGCTTAGATCTTGTTTTAACCTAGGGTAAAGATTATGAAAATCACCAGAATTACATATTAATGAAAACATCGGTGCTGCTCTTTTAAGGGGCTTCGGTTTTGTTTCTCTTTAATGAATTTCAACATGAGCATTAACAGTAATGTTTCTTTGTGAGAATCCATGGCTTGACTGGTGTCAAAGCACATCATACAAACGCACGACAGTCCGATACGCTTTCAATTTAGGCGTTTGGTGGCGGACTGCTACCGTACAGCAGCGGCCAGGCAGCGGTCCGACACGAAACGTCTTAATTGAAGACGGCGGATGAACAGAGTCGGTGACACTCCGTATTCTTATCAAACGGAAAAAAAACACGCTAAATTGTATCTATCTAAATCTTAATCCATCGAAATTATCATCTAAGAGTCGAGCTATAGTGTAAATTTCATTATAAGACATAAGTCATACAGACCCAAGGTTCGTCATCCATAATTTAATAACGTGAACAGCCGTATACCCCTCCACGTCAAAACGAGCAGATATTTACAACATAATCGCACTTGACCGTACCACTGAACTTGTTTCCATGTAACAGTGAAAGCCTCGTTTACATGACAACCGGTCTGCGCGAAAGTGAAACTGACATTGTCTCTTGAACTGGCTTTTTAATAACTATATAGATATTGGTGAATGAAACTTGTGAGAATGATTGGTCGTAGCCATTTTGGAGCTGACGCACTTCGTAAAAGGCGATGATATTTTGCATGACGACCCTTTGAATTGTGAAAACTATATCCTTTAAAAGATATTTAAATTCTATGCAACCTTTTGTTTTTAATATTTATCATCATATTACACGAAATTTACTGATTTCAACTATTATTTTCCTCTGACGTAAAACGGGACGGGAACGAAATTGACGGCATTCTTTAAAAAATACAAATATACAGAAATTGTTCTTACAACGAAAGGTTTTACTTGGTGAGACAGATTGATTATAAAGACAATCATTGAAATAGCTAAAATACTCCAAGGTATGTCAATTTATGCTCGGTGTAATGAGGTGCAAGTGAAACTCTTCATTTTGATTGATTTTTATTTATATCTTACGTTGTCTTTACTTGATAGGTAGGTCTATATTTAAGCGGTCACCTCGCCGCTTCCTATGGCGCTGAGTGTTGTGGGTTCGATCTCCACATTTTTTGACACTTTTACACTCACTCATAACAATTTGTGATCCAATCTGGGTTTTTTTTTTGTATGTTTTGTCAAGTCCCCTGCGACATAACATATATTCCTAGTGCGGGTAGAAAGAAAGAAAAGATTTTAATAGGTTAATCAAAATTGACCCCATTAAAAAAATATTCTTGTAAGGAAAATATTCTGCAATTTTTTTATGTGTATATATATATATGTGTATATATATATATATATATCTCTTTCTTTTTGCGTTTGTTATTGTTAGGATAAAGTGTGTATAAAAAAATCGAACAGTAATTGTTTTTAAAACTTATAACCTGAAAAGAGAGTTTGTATGTTCGGGGTTATCTCAAAAACTACGGGTTGGAACTGATAAAATCTTTTAATGTTGGATAGCCCTTTTTTTGAGGATGAATATAGGCAATATAATACCATGATACGACGAATAAGAGCTGAGTATCAATGAGAAATATAGAGAACATGAGAAAAAAATATTCCTTTTAAGAGACGCAGACAACGTTGCGCGGATGAGCTAGTGCATGTCTTAATTATTAACTAATTAAGATATGAAGAATGCAATATATTATAGTATACATATATTACAGAATCTTTTTAAGCTCATTAAAGTCGGTTACCCTTTCTTAATTAATTATAGTACCTAATTATTTACCACAATGGAGATTTCAGTTACGTGAAATAATTATAAAAACTGAATAATGGTATATGGATGGTAATTTTGTTCCACAAAATAGAAAAACCGTTAAAAATCTATTAAACCAGTACGCATTTTAAAGCAAATTATCCCTTTTTCAATTACGAGATGGTTTACTGAAATTAAATGCACGCTCCCGCATTAGGAATATATCCTGTGTCGCGGGGGACTTTACAAACATACATGAAACGGACACAAAGAACACCCAGACTCAGAACCACAATTTGTGGATCATACAAAGTGTCGTCCCATGTGGGGATCGAACCCACAACACTCAGCGTATTAGTAGTAGTGGTAATTATTCAATTCAAACCAGTAATTCGAACCCGAACCAGAGATTAGCACGTTCATCCGAACATACTCAGAAACAATGTCTTAAGCCTTATAGTATAGATTATGCCAGCCACAAATATTATCATATTTTACGTAGGTATAATAATCATAATTTACGTAGATGAGCTGACCCTAATCTCAACCGGAAACCGTTCGCTGCAGACATGACATACGTACTTCCTGACAAATATTATACAATGAGATAAACATTACTAAGAATAACTCTTTGTCTCTCTGTAAGAGGATGGAGCTCGTGAAATTTTTGCTAACCAAAGATTTCAATGAAACAAAAAAGCTACGTGAGCAAATTGAAGTTAAGGTTTTATTTCCTTTTATACTGTACAAGGTGTTACTAAATTTTGTGGTCAATTTTTATAATAAAACAAACTATTTGTAGTAAAATAAAACAAATGGTTTTAGTTCATTTTTTACATCAATTATTTTATTCGGCAAAATTGGAATGTTATTGTAATGTGACTGATAAATGTCTGCCATTTCCTGGACTAAATATTAAATTTATCGTTTAATTTTCGACATCAATACATTTCTTTAAAAACAACATTTCTTTATTGAAATCGCGAATGTTACACTTAAGATAAGTTTGGAGTCATATATAGTTCCTTCTTAGACCACACCTTAAACCACCTTGAACATAAAACGGAAGCGAACACCATTTAATTTTGACATAAGTATTTAGAATTATGAATTAGTCAAGGTTCGATTACAATTTATTTTTAATATATGCTAATTCTGCATAAATAAGAGACAGATTATTAACATTTACAGGCCTTTATAATCATTTAATAGTAGCTTGACACTCTTTGTTCTAAGTCATATCTTATCGGCGGCATAAATATTGTGCAGTCATTCAAAATATATTATTATAGATATTGCTTTGTATAATCTTAAATGAAACTTTCGCCTACCATGCCGTGGCAACTTGTAACTAAGACAACACTCAGCACATATTTTTACATGTTTGTAAACGATGTATTAGTGTACGTTTTGTAAGTTGTCGTAAATAAATAAATAAAAAATAGTGTCCACTTCATTGAACTCACAGTATTCTCAGCAAACAAGTCATGCGTCCAGTGGTAGGTAGCAATTAATGATCTGCGCCTAAAAACAGGTACGCTCTTAGAACATCAGTAGATAACAAAAATTTGACTACAAATTGCCTATGACATAACCAGTTCCTAATGACCCCGGTCTAAACGTCACTCTGTAGATGTAACGGTTGAAACTTAATGCATATTACGTAAATGAATAACACATTTCAAATGGTTTTCTTCAAAATGTAGGTCTTTAAAGCTTGTATAGTGAGTAGAAAGTCAAGAGCAAAGATGTAAATAATAATGAAAAAAAAGGCTAATCAAATAAGAACTTTTAGAATATTTTAAAATAGTAATCAGTGAGCATACTGACGGTAATCATTAGCAATATAATAAGTAGGAATTTATAATATACATACAATGTGTATTCTTAAACGATAAACCTGTTGGTTTAGTGGAGTTCGTGGCTTCGATACCCACCCAATACAAATATTGTGTGATGAGCACGGTTATTTTTCTATGTCGGGGTGTTTATTTATAATATGTTTGTATTTAGAAAATATAGAAGTCTGTTTAGACGACTGGTCTGGTAACCATTGTACAGACTCTGCCTAGTTTATGGCCAGACTGCCGAAGGGACAGACTATCCATTTACAAATAACGTCACCTGTTACTGCATATTCTTCATCTAGTATTTTATGAGTTACATTTTTCTACTAATAAATATCTTTTCTTTGGCAGATGTTAGATCTCTGTTGGGTGTACTACTTCTCGAAGCTGTCAGAGTTTGCGGACACGATATTCTTCGTGCTACGTAAGAAAAAGAGTCAGATTACCTGGCTGCATCTGTACCATCACTCTCTGACGCCGTTCGAGGCTTGGCTCTTAGTGAAGTTCATTGCTGGTAAGAGCATATCATTTTAATTAAGTTAATTAAGACTAGTCTTTGGTAGGTATACAGACCTATTTAGTTTTCTTTTTAGATATTAATAATATTTTCAAGAAAGAAAAAATAAAATGTTATTAATAATAAAACATTTCTAAGTAAGGAAGAAATAAAATTTACATGTCATGCAACTTCCATAAATGTGTCATTTTTTACTACGAGTATTTATGCAAGAAATATATTTTTTTTACAAACCAAATAAATGGTAAAATGGTTTATTTTTGATATACGGTTATAAAAGTACAAATTCCTTGCTGCTAATACGGGTCAAGTATTTAAATTATATCAAAGAACTTAATACGTCAAAACGGATTGTTTGACAGAGTTTCTATGAATTAACAAGGGTGCGACTGCATGGGTGGCGTAGTGGCTTAAGCGGTCGCGGTCGAAACTTTGTGTGATCCACAAATTGTTGTTCTGAGTCTGGGTGTCCTTTGTGCCCGTTTCATGTATGTTTGTAAAGTGCGGGAGTTATCTTTTTAAAAGTAAAGTAACAAGGTTTGACATCCTTTCAATATCAATCAATCACTGTTCAATCCATAAATCAATAAAAAGAAAAACACATACATTAAACTATTCAGTTCAAATTATAACTTTAAAAATACGACTTTTTTACAAAACAATTTTAATTTCTTTTACACCATCATATTGTAGACTTTTATATATTAACATACTTATACAATTATGTTTATTATTCATTTATTTCGGGCCGAGATCCATAGTATGTGGTTAGTTATAAAAGTTTTAACTATGTTGTCTTAACTTAACTAAATTAAATGTTAGTAAAACTGTTACATAATATATAAAGTCCATTCTTCCTTCCCTGTTCAAGCTGTAACTCTTTGGAACACACTCCCACTAGAAATCATGATGTCCACTAACCGATACACTTTTAAGCTTAAAGTACGGAAGCTCTATAGAGACTTGTTGACGGAGTCATCAGAATAACATCTTAAGAGTATATTTATTATCATGTATATTATTATATATTATATGTATTTTATCATTTATATGTATAAACTATATGTATGCATATCTAGTACTTATATATCTATAGGATTTTTTCTTTTCTGCCATTGTAACAATTAATTCAGTCTCATCTTTACCTGTCCCAAATATACACCTGCCACACACAGCTTTGCTACACCCAAAGGTTTGACTGGAAGAAAATGCCTGAGGCATTAAGTCCGCCTTATGCTATATGTTTGCGGGAAGACTCAATAAATAAATAAATAAAGACACAGATTACTTACACAATATTAGGAGACTGTCTACGTATTTAAACTCATCCAGCATCCCAACATCGGAAAGTGACATTTATCACACACTCTGCGAAGTTGTGAAGCGATTGAATTGCTGATGATGGCATGAGAACCATCAACTCTCGCCTCTGCAATTATACTTTAGCTATCTTGCTCAGTTTGACATTTCGAGCATCAACGGTTGCTACAAGTTATACAAGTTAACAAGCCTGATGGACTTTCAGATAACACGCTACTCATTTATTCGTATTCAGGATAGACCAGTAAAACCAAATTAAATGTCTCTGCTTTTAAAACCACACATGTTTTCAACCATGTTTAACGCCTTAAGAACTTTGTTTATCAACTATCTCTTATATGTAAATATAAAGTTTTTTTTCGGAATGTATTTTCGTACAGCTGACACATAACGCCATCTAGTTTCAAATTAAGCAGAGCTTGTACTTTGAAAGCTAGACTCATATAATACTTGTTTAGCTTTTTTTTTGTAAATACATGCATATAATAAACCTAAACTCCGAAACGAATATTTGCAGATCATACAAACATTCGGTCCTACTCGGGATTCGAACCCGAGACCTCAGCATAACGGTTATATACGATACCACTGCACCACAGTTATTGCGTAGTTGTTGAAGCGGTCGCCACGCCGCGCACTACTAAGAGTGCCACAGCATCGATCCCCACATGGGACGACACTTTGTGTGATTCACAGATTGTTGTTCTGAGGCTGGGTGTTCTTTGTGTCCGTTTCATGTATGTTTGTAAAGTCCACAGCGACATAGGATTTATTCTTAGTGCGGGAGTTGTCTTTAAAAAAAAACTTGTATCACCGCTTTGTTTAGATGAAAATATTAAAATAAAATATGAAGTGTCTAATTATTCATATCTCACACACAGCCGTTGTATTCCAAATTAGACAGAGTCTGTGCTATAGTAACCAAACTGCTAATCATGCAGACTGACACATAATATTTTTTTTGAGGAGAGAATATATTAATATATATTAATATATTAATATATATTAATATATTAATATATTCTACCACATACACACAACGCCATCTAGTCCCAAACTAAGCAGAGCTTGTACTATGGGTACTAGACAACTGATATAAATACATATATACTTTTTTTTTTGTAAATACATACATATTATACATAAAAACACCCAGACCAAATCAAACATCAAATGTTCATGCACACAAATGTTTGACTTGAGCGGGAATCGAACCCATGACCTCTCGCTTAACAGTCCAATATAAATTGTTTTATCCTTTGGTATAAAAGGGGCAGGTCTGTAGGGTCCATTTACCTCCCAGACCGGTTGGAATCGACACAGCGTCATCTGTAAATAAAGGCTTTCGAGTAGCAATTAACGTTCCGTCAGAAACTTTCAGTCAATTATTATTTTGTGGAGATTAACTCAAATTTTATAATTGACAACATTGAAAGTGCATACAACGTGTATTGTAAACGTTTTAAGGGTTGGGCCTACGATAAACACATGGCTTTCTCTTTTAGAGTTCTCTCAGATATCCAAAAAAATACTCGGCTGCTTCGGTGGTGCAGGTGGTGTATGCGACTGCTGTGCTGAGGTCTCGGGTTCGATGCCCGGGTCGGACCAAATATTTGTATGATCTGCAAAATTTGTTTTGGATTTTGGGTAATTTCTGTGTATAATATGGTTTTACCAAAGAAAGTATAAGTGGAGACTTATATTTTCTTGGTAAGTTCGTTCGTCGAGTTCTTGAGTGGAGACCGCGTCTTGGCAAACGTAGTATAGGACGCCCACAGGTCAGGTGGAGTGACGAGTACGCAAGATGGCTGGCAGGAGCTGGATGCGAGAAGCCCAAAATCGATCTAAGTGGCGTGCAATTGGAGAGGCCTGTGTAAAGCAGTGAACTGCTAAAGGCTGATGATGATGATGAAGTATCCATCGTCAATTTAACTTTCATAGTACAAGCTCTGCTCTCTACCAGATGTCATTGTGTGTAAGATGTCCCAAAAAAATATATTATATTTCATAAACCTGCAGAGTTAGCAGAACAGTAAAATGTTAAATTTGGAAGAAGAAGAAGAACAGAAAGCTAAAATTTAAGGCTATTTAAATCCAGTAGGAGGAGGCCGTAGTTGAAATCATGGTCTTCGTAAATAGTTTGACCCATTTAGGTGGAAAAAATTATAAAAAAACAATTTATTATGATATTCCATTAAATAATAAAAAAAAACATCGAAGACATTAAAGTTATTGGTGTACTCGGGATATTATTTAGCATTCATACAAAGATTCCGTACCTTTTTATATATTTGGTATTAGTTTCTTTTTCGTAATTTAAAATTATTATGTTCTTATTTTTTTTAATTGTTAATATAATGTAATTAAATGTTATTTTTTCTTAATTAATAATTATCATTAATTCTTAATTAACAGTACAAATAAACTTGCGGTAAACAATGCCTTTGTACTTTAGTTCTGAGAGGTTTTCTAAGTAGGAAAAATTTGAATTCGTACACAGTTTCATCATCATCATCATCAACAGCCTCTAACAGTCCACTGCTGGACATAGGCTTCTCCTTAGAAAGGAGGTTTTGGCCTACTATACCACGCTAGCCAGACGGGTTGGTATAGGGTTTGTTTCAAGTTTACCTTCTCTTCGCAGTGCTGTTGTCCTGCATAGTTTGCTCCTTTAGTCGGCTCTTACAACACCCACGGGATGAGTAGAGATAGTGACACACTGTATTCTTAATCCGTCAACATGGTGTTATGTTCCGTGTAAAAGCAATGATATTTACGAGGAGGTTAGCATTAAGCTCACCCCAAATTAAATGGACAACGGGCAGAAACACGATCATCAGGAAACCGTTAATTCATCATTCATCATTCTTGCAAAACATAATTGATTTTATATTGTATCTAATAACAGTTTCTATTTCTTTCTAGGCGGCCACGGAACCTTTTCGAATATCGTGAACAATCTGGTGCACATCATCATGTACGGCTACTATATGCTCGCAGCAATGGGACCTCAATACCAAAAGTATCTCTGGTGGAAGAAGCACCTCACCACATTGCAACTAGTAAGTACCACATTTTTTGAAAGAAATTCGACTCGAATTAGTGCTACACACATCATATAAGTACCCCGCTACACTTATGTCGAAACATAAAACAGTTTCTATTTCGGCAAACAATTTTTGTTTAAGTAAATGGGGCAAACAAGCAGTCGGATCACCTGATAGTAAGTGACTAGAACCGCCCATGAACAACTGTCACTCAAGAGTTACAAGTGCGTTGTCACCTTTTCAGTCCCTTTATTTTTGTAACATTTATCTCCTGCACACACGAACACTTAAATATTAGGTCCTTACATATGAAATTGGCGTTTTTTACGGGTGGAATATAAAGGCAATATTTTTTTTGTAAAATATATTTAATTAATCAAACTATGCACCGTTGTTATCTATGCACTTTTGCCATCTTATAGGTAGTTCATTGATCCCTTTACTAAAAAAATCAGGGGGGGGGGGGCGAGAATCAATAAACTCTTTGAAGGCGGTTTGGACTGCCGCATAGGAGTTAAATTTTTTTCCTTGTAAGAAGTTGTCCAAGTTCCGGAAAAAATGGTAATCTGTTGGAGCAAGGTCCGGGGAGTACGGTGGACGTCGCAGATATTCCAATTGCAGCTCATCTAACTTAGTGGTTGTTTGTTGTGCAGTGTGTGGTCTTGCCTTGTCGTGAAGCAGCAGTGGCTTAGAGCGATTGACCAATCTCGGTAGTTTAGCAGCTAGTTTTTCCTTCATGATTTGTAGTTGCTGACAAAAGATATCTGCCGTAATCGTTTGGCCAGATTTTAGAAAGCTGTAGTGAACGACACCGACACCAGTCCGGTAGAACTCGTACTCGTAAATATACCGATATTTCATGTTTTCCATTGTGCGGTAATAAGCGACGCCAAAAAAATAAAAACAAATGAATGTCTGACTCAAAACACAAAATATGTACCTGCTAAATGAATTAATAAATTTGAATTTGGAATACTTAACCAAAGAGGAGATATTTCAGATCTTTCAAAGTGGTCAGTACGACAAAACGCTAATTTCATATTTAAGGACCTAATAACATCGTTCTTGGATATGATGTATAAAGGAGTGCACACTAAGGCATAACAACAAAATCAGTAATATGTTAGAAATTTATTTCAAAGCTTAGGCTGGCAAATATAACTAAACCTGTCGGTTTGAAAGCTATGCCTTACCTTAAATTATATAAAAACTGCTTTTATCATATTTCGCAGTCAAGACGATGATGACCAAAGATGGTCTCTTATTTTGTTCAAGTGAAGTGTAAGTATGTTAGAGGGGGCAGACGAGCAGACGGGTCACCTGATAGCAAGTGATTACCACCGTCCATGAACACAAAAGATAAAACTACACTTTCTAGTTCGTGCTTTTTTATTTCGCAAGCGTTCCCCATACACCTAATCTCAGAGATTGAGGTTTTACGAGCTGATAATTATCTAGATAACGCTATACCATCTTACACGGTCTAGTTAAAGTTACCCGAACAATTAAAGCCATCAAGCGCCGGTATTTCACAAGCGACACTTAGATGATGGTATCACCTATCATTTAGCATTGGACAACAACTTGATCACTGACCTTGTAATCGTCTCAAAAATCTCAAAAATGATTTAAGTAATTAAAATTGTAATTTCAAGAATATATTCTATAATAATATAATTTAATTTATTAACTCTAATTATATACGAATATATTATCTATAGAAACATATATACAATTGTTATTGTATGTGTGTATTTATGTTAAGTAAAATTATTAAGTGTAAGATTATTTCGACATCGTAGAATAATGTCGGTTTTGAAAAAAATACGAAATTCAGTTTTAACTTATTTTATAAATATTTTTTTCTTGAATGTATTTATAATAATATTTAGACAATGTAGTGTCTAAATATTATTACTACAACATTCAAGAAAAAAATATATGTATTTTAGATTTTAAATCATTAAGTGTTTATTTATAGGCGCTGAAAGTAAATTAAAGCATATAATTTTTCTAGAAAATTGTGTAATTTTTATTGCATTAAAAAAAATACAATGTTTTTGTTATTATTTCCAAATTTATTTCTATTCTATTTTTTTTTATTAATTTATAGCTATTTCATAATTACAGATTTAGAATCTAAAAAGTTATGTCAAAAAAACTAACATAATTATTTGAAATGGCTGCCCTGTAAAGTTCAATAAATGTCAGATCTGACACTATTCTACAATTATGACAATTTCTTCTTATAGTTTTGATTTATATATAAATAAAGAGGCCTATGTCCAGCAGTGGACTGCGATAGGCTGATGATGATAATGATGAATATAGACAGACTCAAGATGGCACAGTTATAAACCTTGTTGGTTTTTTAGTTGCTATTATTGTATTATAGTCCATCAACGTCGTGCGCGACCGTCTTGCGGGGTGACAGACGGTGGCGGGGACGAGGTACTCAAGATGTCAGCGTGTAGCGGGTGGTGTAGCGGGGAAGGGAAACGCTTTTCTTCGTGTGTAGCCGTGTGCTAGAATAACGCGCTACCTCGCCCCCGCCACTGTCTGTCACCCCGCGGGACGGTCGCGCTCGTGATTGCCGGGTTATATTCGTTGTAATTATTTTTTATTAACTATAAAAAAAAGATATACTACAACAGGACGTCTATTTTATATGGTATAGGAAGCTGATGGTAAAGTACAGATTCATCAGTGTGTTACCTTTGAATCCCCTCCCCCCCCAGAACCAGGAGGGAGGGGTTGGTCTCCGGTAACCTCACTCACTCAAACCATCAAAAAGGCCATGGCATAACTTCGATCAAGTCTGCCCAAGGTTTTAAGAAATATGTATTTATTGAAAAAAGTTGCGTTGGTTTGTTTATAACCGCATATATCCTAGTTCTTTACCGACTGTTTGCAAATTACTGCACAACGTTGTATCATCATCAACAGCCTTTAATAGTCCACTGCTGGACATAGGCCTCTCCTCGGAAAGGAGGCTTGTGCAACGTTGTATACAATAAGAAAAACAATTATACATGTATATCAAATACCTGTACTTTTTCTAAATTTATTTGGGGACAGTTGCATAGAGTTTTTTTCCATCAATTTCCTCAATCACTCGTCAGTGCACTGCTTGCTTCCTTTCTAGCCATATCTTCTTGCAGTGCATCCATCTTTTCTTTGGTCATCTTTTACTCTTATATCCGTCAACTTCCATACATAATACTTTCTACACCACATTTTGCTCGTCTCTGCGCATCACATGCCTAAAACAGTATAATCTTTTGCTTCTCAACTTTTCATTCACTGGTACTACTTTTAAGCTTCCTGGAATGTATTCATTCCTCACCTTGTCCATATTAGTCACACCACATATTCGTAGTTTTGTTGTGTAACGGACTGCAATTCCAAAGGTGCATGAACATTAATGTTTGATTTGGTCTGGGTGTTTCTATGTATAATATGTATTTACAATACATATATATATATATATGTATTCACATCAGTTGTCTAGTACCCATAGTACAAGCTCTGCTTAGTTTATAACTAGATGGCGTTGTGTGAATGTGTAAAAAAAAATCTTAATATTCACATTACAGCTTAATGCAGCCGTCTCTTTTCATGATTAATTAAATAACAGTTCATCAAATTAAAATTGTCAGTTTGTACAAACTGTTTTTGTGACACACTTGTTTTATTCCAAGTGCGTTCTTAAGAAATTAATTACATTTATTATTGTGTAATTATGTATGTTTTTTATTTCTTTATGGTTGTAATGATAATAGTTACAGTTAATAGTTTCCATTTCTATTTAAATTAATTTATAAAAGGAAAAATCTACATTCCACTAATTTCCAAGGTTGGGGCAATATTTTTGCTGCATGAACCATTTTATACTTTCCATCTAATTCAGTTCAAAATCCTTCTGTGATAGTTAAAGCAACTTTATTTATCTGTACATAACTCCTTGAATTTTCTGCTCTCTTATTTTCTTAGGACCTTAAGTAATTTACTTACAGTAACAGATGGCGTAGTGGTTTAAGCGGTCACCTCGCCGCCTTCTACTGCGCTCTCATCCCATTGTTATTCTGAGTCTGAGTGATCTTTGTGTCCGTTTCATGTGTGTTTGTAATTCCGTCGCGACACAGGATTATATTAATAGTGCGGGAGATCTTTCTAAAAAAAAACTGAAAGTAAAAGACTCAAAAACACAAGGCTTTTAAGTTTTGGCTAATAATTTACTTTGCTTCTCTACCTTTTTTTTTCTTTTTTTCTGTGCGGAAATCCCCTCGTATACCACCTATCTCGGTGGCTATCTCGGATTGCTTTTCTGCCCTTTAATACAAATCGACTGTTTATTAACCCGAACAGATTAAAACACTTTTATTACAAAACATTTTTATATAATTAACATTTTTATTCGTACATAAGTATGTATATACTTCCGCAATACAGGCGGCAACGTGGAACCTACCAATAAGGATCGCACCGCGCCTAGAATTCCGATCGAGTCGGGTGTCGCTTGCGCAATCTATTAGGGTATACGGCACACGGTTCAGCTGTACTGCGGTATATGCAATACTAGTTTACAACTTCCGAAATGAATTCCGTAATATTATCGCTTTGACAAAGGATTTTTAATAGTTAGAAATACTTAAGTATCGTTAAACAGGAATATGATGATATCACACATTTTGCAACACTTATTCAGTTCAGTTATAAGTGTCCACAGTATCTAGTGATTTCTTAAAGTGTCCGCAGTATCACCTCTAATGATTTATGCATATCATGTTTTAAAATTACTCTGTCTTCCTTGAAAATAGTTCATACGGACGGTTGTCATTTTTTTTGTAAACTTGCTGCCAATGACGAATGCGCTGAAAAAATTATACTTACTTCCTAACTTATGAAATTCTCGCTTTCCTACGCCACTCTGGTCGTCTTGCTTTCTCCCCTTACTCTGTAATTTGTGTGTTTACTCTTTTACGTCTTACTTATCAAATGATCATTATTAATTGCCTTATCATGGGTATAGATGAGAACATTGGGATAAAACGGCTATTAAAAGCAAGTGGTTAACACACCGCAAGTCACCGATTATTTTCGCTTATGAGAAAATGACTATAATTTCTAACATATTTAATAATAAAAGTAATCCTAATTAGAGTTTAATCAACGACAATTACGAAACCGTTTTTACACTAACAGTGTTACTGCGCCGTGCATGCCAACATTAGACACAACGATTTCAACACTAGACGGAACGTTGTATCCTTTCTCCGTATTGCACACGTTCTATTAAATGTTTTACATCAAACTCTACCTACTCACCTTGCAGGCTACCTTCGTTCATTACGTTATATACTTAGGCTTTAATACTAAATTATAAATATTTTATATACCTTATGAAAATAGACTGCACGCTTCCTAACACGCTAAGTGTTGTGGGTTCGATCCACACATGGGACAACACTTTGTGTGATCCATCAATTGTCGTTCTGGGTGTTTATTGTGTCCGTTTCCTGTATGTTTGTGAAGTCACCCTCGACACAGGATAAATTCCTAGGCCGGGTGATGTCTTTATTTGAAAAAAGAGAGACTAAACACTGATTTGTATAATTAGTAAAAATAAAACTATTATGTTAAGTCAAAGAAAAAACAGTTAATTCAGTTTCTAGACCACATTTACTGTTAAGGACACCTCTAAGCGCAAAAGTCTTAGCTACAGAAGTCAGGCGTTTGATTTAAGCTCAGTGTTAATAACGTTAAAAGAAATGTATTTACAAAACAAGTATCTTATCATTTAGATTATTTGTGTTCCAGGCCCTAAAGTGGTGGCTTAGTTTGGTATGATTTAGATAGCATAATGTAATATTTCTCTGTATTTTATTTTATCAACTGAATTTGGTGTTAAACAATTTTTTCTTTATAAATATTCCTCTACAAGTAAACAAATTACAACAAATTAAAAATGCTTACAATTGTTTGTAATTGGTAACAAATAAATTATTGTTTTATTATAAATAATTTCATAATAAATTGGTTGTACCTAATATTATACGCATTTCATAATAAAAAGTGGCACAATTCTTTCATACTTATATTAAAATTCCAACAAGAGTTTATGCGCATACGAGAGCTTAAAAACAAATACCGCACATTTTAAATTCATTTCGTTTAAATTACACGTGTAATTTTCATTTCCAAGTACATCATTATGATGATTGTAAAACAAGGGATATCTTTTCTACATTACCAGATTCTTGGAACACCCGAATAGGGAAGTCAAGGTTTAAGATGTATAAGAGACATTGCATTGTTGTGCCATAGGATTAAATGGTTCGATTGTATGAAATGTGGAGGACAGCGCCATCTAGTGATTGTGTGGTGTGAAGATTGTGGTTATTACGACAAGTTCTAATCTTTACAGCGCTAGATGGCGCTGCAAGTAACGCGGGACTGATTCTGGAATATTCATGTTGTCTGGAACGGACTGTCTGGTCCGCTCATAACAGTATTTATAAATAAATAAAACTTCATTAATAACTAGCTGTACCTTGCTATGCTTCGCTATAGCACAATAAGTTTGGTTGCGTAAATAAAAGTGAGGGACGAAACTGACGCAAAATATATATAAAGCCATCTGTAAAGCGTATTGCATATCATGTCATTTTGAGCTTAATCAGTGCAGAACAGTTTTGAGTTTTTGAAGTGTACACAAATCAACTTTATATTATTATTATAAATATCCACTTATGAACTGATTAAAAAACTTTATAAATTTACTAATAGAGTTAATTTTACTTTGAAAAGGATTACAAAAGGATTGTGTAAGGAAGAAAAAATAAATATAAAATCCAAATTAAAGTAACATTTCTTAATGTTGTTTAAAAATGTTGCAATAGCTGTTAACACGCTTAGCAAAAACCCAAACGTATATACAAATATTGTTGTTGTATGCATGTTAAGTAAAATTAGTGAGTGTTAGATTATTTTTTCTTTTGTGTTGTTGGTATATTTTTATCTTTTCTATTTGTTATTCTTATAATTATGATTTGTATATAAATAATATAGACAAGATAACACAGGTATAAACCTTGTTTGGGACCCATTATGGAGGATTGGCTCAAGAGGCATCACAGAACCCTCTCATTCCGGTTGACGCAGGTAATCACCGGGAACGGATGCTTCAGAGATCACCTGTGTCTGATCTGCAAGGAGCCACCGCCTGGTGTCGCAAGAGCCAACTAAGGGAGCAAACTACGCAAGTCAGCAGTACTACAAAAAGGAGGAAAACTTGACGTAAAGCCTATACCAACCCGTCTGACCAGCGTGGTATAGTAGGCCAAGACATCTTTTCTAAGGAGAGGCCTATGTCCAGTGTGATGATACACATGATAACATTTTAGCTTTCTACACATATTCCTTCTGTTTATGTGTACTTAGTCACTTCTTTCTATTCATAATAATCGTTCATAGATTTTTAAGGAAAAAAAGTACAGAATTTTGTACTTGCGTTTATCGTACTCTTTTGACTGGTATATTTTATGATTGGCTTGTTTGACACCAAACCCCATTTGAAAAGTAAACTTTTGGGATTGGACAAACTAACATCATCATCAACAGCCTATAATAGTCCACTGCTGGACATAGGCCTCTCCTTAGAAAGGAGGTTTTGGCCTAATATACCACGCTGGCCAGACGGGTTGGTACAGGGTTTGTTACAAATTTTCCTTCTCTTTGCAGTGCTGTTGTCTTGCGTAGTAGTAGTAGTAGCTCCCTTAGTCGACTTTTACGACACTCACGGGATGAATAGAGGTGGTGACATTCCGTATTCTTAATCCGTCACCACACGGAAAGATTGGACAAAGCTAGATTGTAAATTGGGGAAAAAAGATAGGTCTAGAGAACTAGGAAAGTCTCGAATAGGGTTCCTGTTCTAGTTCTAGAAATAAATAAATGTATGTATATTTTATTCCAGGTCCAATTCTTCATGGTGCTGATCCATTCGATCAGTGCATTGGTATACGACTGCGGATATCCAAAGTAAGTGTCACCTTCATCATCATCAATAGTCTTTAATAGATTCCTCTCCTTAGATTGTCACATTAAATTTTCTTAATTAATTTGTAAATATTTAACATTGTTTAAATATCTTAATTTTATACTTCTATATACATAGACTTTAGGTTATCCAAATTCCACGTTAATTCGTTCACGAACCTTTTTAAGGAGCACAAAGAAGAACTTTTTCGCTTCAAGGACGAGCGTTAGTTAAGTGGTTATTGACCCTAACTGTTTAGCCGGAGGTCGTGGTGTAGATTCCCACCTAGAACAAATAATTGTGATTACACAATTATTTGGGTGCTCAGTACTCATCAGAGCACGATCATTTTCTGTGGCTAGGTATAATTTATCTATAATATGTATCTATTTAGAAATATACAAGTATGTTTATCAGCAGTCTGGTCACCATAGTACAAGATCTGACTAGTTTTAAATCAAACAAATCTGGCAGCCGTGTGTGAGATGTGTAAAGCCAATAGTATTTACAGAAGTGTAAATTGCTCGATTAAAGCTGTTACTTGTAGATATATAGTTACTAGTTGATCTTAAGTTTTTTTTTTAGTAAATGAAAATACATATAATGAAATCTGTTATTTATATTAATCTAATGCATAAACTTACTTTCCATTCAGGATCATCGCCTCTCTCCTTATTCTCCACTCTACCATCTTCATCGTGTTATTCATGAACTTCTACATGCAAGCCTATAAAAAGGAAAAACCAAAGAGAACAGTTGACGTCGCCACTAACAACAACAACAACAACGAAACACACCTTAATGGTATAGTCAAAAGTGACAAGAACGGTTATGTAAAAATTGGTAATACCAACGGGCATACTCCTAACGGAGATTTGAATGGACATCTAACAAATGGGGACTTAAATAGACATGCAAGCAATGGACTGAACGGCTATTTAAAACACGAATTAAACGGCCTCAACGGATTAACAAAAGCTAATGGTCATTTGCAAAACGCCACAGATAAAGATAAAATACAATAGCCCAGAATGTAATTCTAGGTTAGTTTAACTTTAATTAATCCATGTTTAGAGAGTCCAAGGTACCTTGATTTTGTTGAGGCCTGCTCTACTCAGTGTAATGTAACAAGATGATTGGAGAAAGTTAAATTTCTACACGGTGGATTTATGCTTTCGTGAATGTAAAAAGTGTTGCAGTTTTTATATGGCGAATGTGATTTTTTGATAAACGTCTCCTGAGGGCCTTCTAGTTTAAGTTTATTTCACATAAACTGACTCTCGGCGGCGAGCGCGTTTGGCGTTGTGATTGGTGAAGATTTCGGTGCGGTCCAATCACAACGCCGTCACGATCGAGTAAAAGTGAAATAAACTCACATTAGGGCTTCTGAATGTTCTTATAGGGAAATAAGATATTGGATGTATAAGCCAAAGCTTACGTTGTTGACAGTATCCACCAATGTATAATAACAACCAACAGTAATTACGCAGTATATATACTTATAAGATCATTTATTTCAATTTGAACGCTTAATGTTTTTTTAATATGAATAATTCTGATATACGGCAAAAAATCAATGTCCCTCTTGATACATTTTACAAAGAAACAGAGAATGAATTTTAATTAATTTGTAAACCTATTTGTACATCAACTAGCCAGGTTTCAAACGTCCAAATGGCCATGTGCGAGTTTATTTCACATATACTCGTTCGTCACGGTGGCCGCGTTTGGCGCTGCGATTGGCCTGCACTGAAATCTGCACTAATCACAACGCTGAACGCGCTCGCTGTCGAAAGCGATTTGATGTAAAATAAACTTGCACTGGTTTCAAAAGACCTGGGCCTCAATTGTGCTATTTTATGTTCACGCCAAGCCACTGTCATACCATTGACACGCTATTGAGATGCCATCGAGTGGCTATTGGCATCGGTATAAATATCGGTAGTCTAGTAGGTGGCTCATCAATGACGATATCAAAAAGATTGCCATATTTGGAAAAATAAATCAATCATTTCCTAAAAAAACAAAACAAATAGCAAAATTGAGGCCCTGATCAAAACGTCACGTATTTCAAAGTTTAAAACGCACTGATCCCGTTATTAGCGTTTAATTATTTCATATAACGCGGCCGCTTAAAAATTAGTATGACTATATAGTGCCTTAATTTACGAAACCAGAAGTGTACTAAACAGGTATTTTAACTTTCAAAATAATTTAATGTCAAAACAGATACAAGAGTACCTGTTATCTGTTTTGACATGATGTTGGTAAACACAGTATGATAAATAAATAAATAAAAAACATTATAGAAATCAAATTGAAATGAACATTGTTAAGAAATGTTGTATAGTTATAAAATAAGATCAGATGTAAAATACTGCATCTTGGTTATTCTTGTAAGCTTAAATATGCTGTAATCAGAAATCTCCCAGTGGACCATTAACATTCGAAGTTCTTTGCTTGTAACCGAAAAAGTGGATTTGGTTTTCTCAGAAGAGTTTTATTTTCAAACTACCTCATGAGTGGACTTTTCCATGACTTATAATTAAGCAGTTTTGGTAAAACTCAAATTTAAATAGAACGTAAATATTCAATGGAATTAATAAATATTGAATATCTTTATTTTGTCTCTCCCGAAATTCACAGACTAATGTACTGATTTGCAAAAGGCAAACGTTTCTTTACTTCCGTCCATACTAAGCTTTATTAGTTATAAGTAATAATAACTGTAAATAAAGTGTTAATTTATTTTTTGTTTTGCAAAAGTACAATAATATAAATCAATATATAAATTACATTTACTCGTGCTATTTGTAATATCACAAAATGTATACAAAATTGTATACATTTATTTCTATAAATTTATATTTTATTTTCGTTGTTCTTTTTTTATACATTACATTAAAGTTATGGCTAAACTAAGTAGTATTGAACATTGTAAATATAATTAAATCATTGAGATTAATAACAATATAATAATGACGGGTGTGATTTTTTGTAACTACATATTGTATAAAAAATGTATTATATTTGATTTGTATATTTTAATTGTTGTATATTATCCCCATCGGTGGTTGAATGGGGATTATAGATGGAACAAAATCACTGTGAACTGTGAATGGACGGTGATTTATCTTCGATTTTTTCGTACGTTATTACATATTCACGCGTTGTTGCCAAAAAACTGTTTTCAGGTGATGCTTAAAGACCCTATTTCGTCTATTTAACAGTAAATCTAGTAATTACTTTATTATATAGGTACCATTCTCTATATAATAATAAAAAAATACTAGATTTAAAGTTACATAGCGTCTAACCTAGCAACCCTAACCTATGTACGCAAAAATTTAATGATAAATCACAGTTCACTCTGATTTTGTCCCATGCCTAATGAGAATAAACACACGGAGATATTATTATAACTAAGAAATCCAGTCAATTTAGCGAAATTTTAGTTCTATATTAGTAGTTTATACATAGACTTATTTACTAAGTGATGTGTACTTGTATACCCTTTTACATAAGAAGTTTCCAAATAAAATATTAGAAATTGAAAAGTAATGTTTGGTTTTTTATTCTATTTTTTTTTTTTTTTTTTTTTTATTTATTTATTCAAGGTAAATTGTACAGAAAATAGTGATAAAATGGGCGCTCATTTTTTTAGCTATAACAATTACATATAGAATATGCGGCTGGTACCTAAAAAGGTAAAACCTGAGATATAGGTACCAGCTACCTTCCAGTGACACTGAGTTATTAAATGCAGATATACATAATTTAATTAAAATTGCCCTGTACAAGTTGTAAATTAATTTACACAGTATGTTGCCTTACTTATTAATACCAAAACATGCATAGTTACATATCAATTTATATAAATGTAATAATGCATTTGTGATGTATGTGAGAATGTGTGTGTATGTCTGTGTGCATGTATGTGTGTGTGGGGGGGGGGGGGGGTGCATGATCATATCTGAGGGTGTAGAATAGCCTCTAGAAGAAGGTTGTTTATCTTATTGTATAAGTAACGTCCCAAGAAGAAATAGAACTTATGACCGAAAGATGTTGTGCAAGTGTAGGTTAATGGGATCTTATGTTTACGACTTCTATGCGCCTGAGTAAGTACACTTAATAGTGGTCTTTCAATTTTGTTCTTAGAGATGTGTTGCTTTAAAATTATTTGCAGAATGAAAATTTGGCGCACTGTCAGCACTTCACAAAACTCGTACAATTTTTTAGATGGAAAACGATAAGGTTTGAAAGTACAGACTTTGAGCACTGCTCTTTGGGCTCTTTCGAGGTGAATTAAATGGCTTTTTGATGCTCCTCCCCAAGCAGAAATGCAGTATCCCAGTAAAGACTGGCAAAGCGCGTAGTAGACCATCTTTATAACGTTAGGATCGGCAACATGTCTTAAATGCTTGAAAACATACATTAATTTACGTACTCTACCACATAAACTGTCAATGTGTTGATGAAACGATAAGTGGTCGTCGAGTATAACACCCAAGTAGCGAGCAACGGATGTCTGATTGAGAGTAGGGCAGTTGCAAACATCACTACAAACTCCGTGAGTGTGGACAGTAATTTTATGGTGGGGGTTACTTGTTAAGGAATTTTTAATTTTGAATGTCATTATGTTTGTTTTATTGACATTCAAGGTAAGTCTATTATTTGTTAGCCATTGTGTAATTCTGTTGAATCCAAGTTGCGCTGCGTGATAAGTTTCTTGCCAGGTTGTTGCTTTAAAAATTAATGCGGTATCATCTGCAAAGGCTACTATTTTACCACTTTCCAGGACAAGGTCGCACATCTCGTTAACATATATTAAGAATAGCGTCGGCCCGAGGATACTCCCTTGAGGAACGCCATATAACACTGGGATTTCAGAGCTAGTGTGTTTTCCCACTTTAGTACACTGTGTGCGATTACTCAGATAGCTCTGGAACTGTTTTAGTTGATTCCCCCGAATGCCTATTTTTTCTAATTTGATGCATAACTTAGAGTGGGAGACAGTATAGAAGGCCTTTGCCAAATCAAGAAAGATTGCAAGGCATTTCTGTTTTTTATCTAGTGATTCGGCAATACAGTTAGTACGGTCATGGACTGCGTCGTCCGTCGACATGGAATTACGGAAACCATATTGTCTATCAGATAGCAGGTTATTGTATTCCAGATATCCCTTTAACCTTTTGTTCATTATTCGCTCTAAAATTTTAGAAAGTGCTGGTAGCACAGAAATTGGTCTGTAGTTATGTAAGTTGCGTTTGTCTCCTGATTTATGTATAGGATGGACAAGGGCCTTTTTAAATCGATCTGGAAATACTCCAGTGCTAATACATAGATTCAGAATGTACGTGAGAGGCGGAATTAGACTAGCCTTGAACTGTTTAATGATATACATAGGAATGCCATCAATACCAACTGCACAGTTAGATCGTAAACTCATTATTATATTTTCAACTTCAGCTTCATCTGTTTCAAGAAAGACAAACGAGTTTACAGTGGAAGGTTTCGTACCGCATTCCCGCCTGACAACTGCTTCGGTTGGAGTTGTTACGGTCTCGGCCAATTTTTTTCCTACATTGACAAAATAGTCATTTATCTCATTTATAGACCTCACAGAATTTCTATCTATAAATAGTAAGTCATTCGCGGTTTGAGTTCCTTTGGAGGTATGGGTAATAGATTGAATTGCATTCCAGAGATGTTTTGGGTTACTGTTTGCTTTTGTCAACATGTCTCTTTCATATTGCCTTTTGACATTTTTAAGCAGATTGTTGCAGAAATTCCTATATCTTATAAATATGATCTTTAGTGTCTCATTACTGGGGCACTTTTTCATTTTTTTATACATTAGGTCTCTATTCCTCATACATCTCAACAGCCCAGGAGTAATCCATGGCTTCCGTATTCGTAAACGGGAAGGGACTATTTGGGTACTCGTGGCCATACTGATAGCTGATGACAAGTCGTTTATGAGATGTGTACAAGCGTCGTTTGCATTATTTGTTTGATATACTGA